GTACCTCCACGGTACATATTGTAATAATTATAACATGGTGCTTTTTGATTGTAATGAAGTTTTCCTATGCACAGTACGTGTTTATTTCACGTCATGGCATACCACCATGGTTTCCAACCGTTTGTTAAAATAACCGTCATAACTGAATACTGTATGTGGAAAATGTTAACATTTTTGTATTTTTGCACAGAGTGAAAATTACGATTGAACTGTTTATTCGGAATGGTATACGGGTTAAAAGCCATGAATATTGGGTAATTCGAAATTTAACGGATAAATACGTGTACAGAGATCAGTACTCAGTGAGATACTAATTTTTACAAATTTTTATGGGAATTTAAAAAATGTTAAGATTACAGCAGTAATTACCTGCCATCTCGAGCAGCATCAGATAAACTGATGATAAAAACTCGTAGCGGCGCAGTGAGTGCGACATTCAGAATACCTTTGCAATATGCACGGAGTGAATCGGTATCAAGTTCTGAAATAAATTTTTGTAATGCATTATTTTTCCTCTTTTGCCAAGTGTGCAGTAGTAAGGATACAAAATAGGAAAGTGTAAATTTTACTTATAATTAAGTATAATTACGGAATTCGGTATTTAGTTGTAGAAATTGTAATTTCAGATAATAGTATGGTGAGAATCCTAGTGTAGTAGCTTTTCAAAACTGAGCAGTACAGCTATAGATTTTGTATAATTTGAGAAATGGAATCTCGTAGTCCAGAGAAATTAGCTTTGTCTAAAATTCCAGTAAGAAATTGTTTTGAGCAGCGAAATAAATACAAGCCTAACGAAATGTGGCAGTGATGGCGCCCCCCGGTGTCATCTTTCCACACCATTCACTGGCCAGTTCAGAAAGTTACCGTAATGTTGCGTATAATGAAATTTGTAATCGAGGTGGTTTCTTAATACATAATTATTACATCATAATTTTTCTGTGTGAAATTATTACTGGAAAAGTGAACTCTTTACAGAAAAGGTGTCAATCTTAAAATTATTAGTGCCGCGGTGAAAGTGGCGATTATCGTTTCTAATTGTGACTTGAATATTTCACTGAATTAATAAAGAAACGTTGATAGGAAAGTGAAAGTTTTCTTGGTGAAAGTACCAAATTGTTTTCGGAAGGGATTATGCATAATAATACAGTTCAGTCTTAACGCCTAAAAGATGATAGTGAGCTGAAGTACTGTACTTCATGTTGAACAAATAATAATATGATTAGGTGAAAATAACGGAGTTATCAGCTCCTCAGTACTTAGTAATTCAGGAAAATATGAATTAGTAGTTAAAAGTAAAATTTTACATGAAATGTTGTTAACAAATAAAACCTACCGTAGTAAAGTAAGAAAATTCGTGTGTTAAGTTTTCAGTGTGTAGCGTGGTGAGCCGAAGGCTCCGAAATCAGCTGTGTCGGTATGACTTGCAAATTTTGTCAATGTTGAGGTTTTTAATTCTTTAAATTTACACCTTATCCTTGTTACACTGCGATTGGCATTTTTACTGTTATTGACTGTTCTTATCTGGAAATGGCTGACGATTCTTTTGATTCATTTGTGTCGGTTGAATTTGTTGGGAGTAAATCTCCTCCTAAGGCGTCGGAAGGTGTTCATATCTCTGTGAAACGAACCACGGTGAAAGAGAGCGTGATTATGAAGAAAAGTCCTTGGGTGATTGTGGATGGAAAGTTGTCCCGTGTTGATACTGTCAAACCGGTTGTTCGTAAGGCACCAGTAACGCGGAAGAAGAGAACAGTCGGTCGCCCAGCAGGATCGGGCACGGCAGTCAAGCATGTTGGTCCGAAAAGACGCGTGGGACGCCCAGCGAGAGTTGTCTCTGTTGAACCCGATGAGAAGGAAAATCAGGTCTCTAAACCTCCAGTGACGAAAGTTGATGTTGCAACGCAGGTTGAAGGATGGCCAATCGTGAGTGTATCGTCTCGGCTATCTTTACCTCCAAAATTAACCGCGGTACCCTGTGATGAAGATAAGAAGCAGTCAGTTGTCGCAAGCGAATGGATTGTCAATGATCGGAAATTAACCCGTAAGCGAGGCCGTGTGAGTCCGCTAAATGAGAAGGAAAAACGTGTAGCTTTGGATGTGGGATCTGAACGACCGGTGCAGTTGAAGAAAGGAGGGGATAGTGATCAGATTGACAAGATAGATTTTGTGTCACCGAAAGTGAAACTTACTGGTATCAAAGAAGCCGTCAAGCAGAAGAATGTTGGTGCAAATGTGCGAGAAGCGATGGACAGAATGCGTTTTCGTCCGAAAGGCAGCTCATCCTCAGTCGTTGAAAGCCAGAAAGTGATTACGCGGAGCCAGTCTGTTTTGTCGAAACTAGGTCGTGTGAGTCCGCTAAACGTGAAGGAAAAACGAGTTGAACAGAAGAGTATTCGCTCAAAAGTCAGTGAAGGTGTGGAGCAAATATTTGAGCGTCTTAAGGCCATCTCAGCAGCAGAAGTCGAACGTAAAAAGTGATTCCACGAAGACAGTCTGTGTTATCAGGAGTTGGCAGTGTGCTTAGCAAGGATGCAGTAAAGAGTCCGAAGAAGCAGCAGAAAATCGTCAAAACACGAGCTGGAATGCGCGAGTTGAGAAGCCTTAACAGCGGCGGTGGTTGGGCTATTCGTACTGGTGGTAGACCCAAGAAGGACGTTCCCGAGGATATTCCGAAACGTTCGTATGGTTTTGCCCGTCGTGGAGGCACTAAAGACTGACGTAATCAGTGGTACAGTATTAGCTAAATTATTCAATTTTTACTTATGTGATAACCTGACGGCAATCCTTCTGTCTGGTCATTATTTTCAGTATTTTTACTGTTTTAATCTTTTAAATTTCCTACAGTATGATATGAACAGATTTTATCGCCTAAATCGTCTGCATGCTTTTTATCCTATTGGAAATTGACGATGACGAATGCAAGAAGATTTGGTGTTTGGATTCTGAAGTCGTAAGAGCACCTTTTTACGAAACAGTAGGAAAAGAAATTGCCGTGCAAGAGGAGAGATGGAGATGATTAATTCTACGGTGGAATTAAATTTTAAGCTAAAAATTGAACTGATAATGTTGTGAAACTAGTGCTAGCTCATGAACCTGAAATATTCAATTTAAGTGGTTATAAGCTGGAAATTGTTCGTAAATGATTTTGCCTTGGTTGTTTACTGTTTTGTATGAAGCGGATTAGGTCTCTTGTAGCAGCTGATTACTTTCCATTGAAGAATGTGCGGTATCGTGATTCTAGTTGGGGTTACTGGTCACTGTGAATTATGATTTTATCTTTTGTTGTGTATATGGGTGGATATTCTTTTGTGTACAGAAATTTTCCAGTTTTAGCGTGCTTGTATCCGGAAATATGTATAGCGGCACAAAGGATGTTGTGTCCTCTGATTTTAAGAAGTTCTAAGCAGTGAAAAATCCCAGCAATGCCAGAACTATGCAGATGTAGATGTGGCGGTATGATGCTTCTGATGATTGGAATTTAGTACGGAATAAGCCAAGAAAATGGACGTATAGTATTGAGCTAAGTTCGAGTTATGTGAAACGTAACAATTCAGGATTGTCCGGGATAACCAGTAAAACTGTAAGAATGTCGAATGATTGTAGTGTAGTGGCGTGCGCATGGTTCGTACAATCAAGTTAAGCGTAGTTTAGCCTATCTCCTTTACCCTAACGTCAGAAAAATAATGTTTGTCAATTTTTGCGAAATTAGGACAATTACTATAACTAATTACTACTAAAGTCGTATAGTTTATGAATGCAGCGGTAATAATTCCGATTTTAAGAAATTTTAAATTCTATGTGCAGAATACAGTAAAATGCTTTTCAATAATTGGGTGTAGATACCTAAACCCGAGTGAAACTAAATGCATAATCAGTAGAAGTGTTAACGATGATTACTTTTTAATGCAGTTTTGTTCCCACCCGCCCTAACCCGTTTCAGGAATTATTATGAACGAACGTAAAACACAAATGTTTTGAGCATACTATGTTGAATTCTTGTTGAATTTCGTGGGTATTGTTTGTTTGAGTAATGTTGTACAGTGTATTGCCATATGATATATGCAGTTATTTGTAACTTCAGTATTTGTCAGACTTCGTAGTATAAGGTCTTTTAGTTCGCCTACCAGTTCCGCAGTAAGATGTAAATATAATCGACTTAACGAATAAGCTTTAACACTATGTTTCGAAGTAGCAATATTTTTGTTAATTACGGTCAATTACACCAACAGCAGATTTAGTATTTTTAAATGGTACAGTATTTGTCAAAACATTTACTATTGCATAAAGTCTGGGTATTGTTAAATCTTGTTTGTAGCAGTTAACCTTTTAATCCTTTAATTTTCACTAGTTGATCGTAGTACAGTGGATTTAGTCGACCAATACTTTCGTCCTGTTGCCAGTTAGAGAAATACGAAATAACATCAAATGATCAATTTACAGCACTTAATGCTTAGAACAAGAACTTTTTGTCGTTTATACGTTTGGATCTCATGGACGTTCCTGCTCTCCGCCTTTCCACTTCCTTGGACTTCCGGATTGCCAGTTACGCTCCAGGATCCGATGACCTTTAACTTTAACTCACTAACAACTTACCGGACCGAGCGATGTTACTTACTCTTTTGATGGCACCGGATAGTCGGGATGGAATTTGGCGATAGTGCTAGATGTTGCACGCACTATGCGGATGGAGCAGATGTTACGATTTCCTATGTCCCTATGTTCGCTTCCTCTACGTTCCACGTCGTTCCGCAGAGCTTCACTTTTGTTCCACTACGATGCAGCGAAATCTCGTTTGCGGGGTGACGTGTACTGGCGTCCCTTAGTACACATCGGTACTACTTTACTACTTCTACCTCTACAACTAAGGCTTAGGCTTTACTACATCTTCTACGCGAGTCATGACCCCGAGTCTCTACTTCGACTTCTCAGAAATCCCCAGCAGAGAACTTTGACCGCGACTTGCCATTTCGACGTGACCGCGCTTCGATGACGTAGCTCAACCTATTGTTCTAGTGTATTAGTTGACCTGATGTTCTCATTTGTCCACGTGTAGTGATGCAGCGGTGTGATTAGTCCACGTGTCCTTAGATGTCTCTAATTGGTTAGATTCTAAATCCCTATTGTTCTCAGACCCGTACCTGCGCGTACGAAGAGCCAGCACTTGCGGTGCCAACGGCTATATAAGGCGCTCGTCGCCCACACAAATGTCAAGAGTTGTAATCCCAACAAAAGTAGAGTCTTGTTACTCGATCTGATTAACTTCAGGCTTTTGCTCTGGTCTTCTCTTTCCAAGTGAGGCTGTTCAAACTGACCTCTGGGTGACCTTTCACCTATTGTCAGGGGTCATTCCTCTATCTCGTCGACGTGCATTATCATCTTCGGATAATCTCGTGACGTAACAGGTTACCCATTTGATCCCACTTGATTTGCCATGACCTTTCGGTCTCATCATCATCTTCATGCCCTGTAGCGCCAGGTTGATGGATATCCCTTATCGCTTCTGCTAACATCTAGCGTCAGACAGGTAACGTATACTTCTCCGTCGTGTGTGTATTTCTCGTGTTTGCAGGACCCGGACCTCTTCTTCTTTTCCTTTCCTACTTCATACCAGATCAACGTAATCTTCTACCATCTTCCGTAACAGTTTGAGACAGAGTCGCTCTATCCGACTGGTCGTGGTCGGACAAGTGGATACAGTACCCACTTCACTGTGTTAGGTCTTTAATTCACGTCACTACTCACTGCATACATCGTTAAAACGCGGCAATTTTGTTGCACCTTGGCCAGAAATAGTATAAGACTACACAATGATTCACAGAATTCTTCTTATTCTCTTACTGTCCTATAACACTTGTCGTGGTGAAAGTCTTGTACAACCATCCGGTAGCGTTATGTCGTATGAACAAGGGCGCACGGGATTTGGCTGTGGTCTTCTCCCTGCCTATATCTCAGTCGGTAGAGCACTCTTAAATCCCAAACTGGTACTGCGAAATAACTTGGAGGATCGATGGAGGTATGCGTAAAACTCAGGAACCAGGAATCCCTATCAGGAGCCTTGCGAAACACGAACGAATGCCTTACTTCTCACTTCCGGTCTCGGTGTTTTACGTGGATTAGATAAAGGCGATGGCCTGTGCGGCGCGAGTATACTGCGGTTCCCTAAAGCTAAGATTAGACTCGAATCCCGAACTTCTAGGTAACCTTTAAAAAATACTGCCCTTTAATCCAATACACATCGTAATCCTCGACACATGGAAGTCAGAAAAGTAAGAATGTCAGAAATCAAGAGACTAATTCCTGACCCGTACCGATATTAGAGACACATCGAGCTTATATAGACTTCCAGTAGTACACGGCATACATCGCTAGGAGTTTAGCGTACAACCAATCACAGGTAGAGAGATGACTAGATAATAACACGGCGCTTTGTATTTAGAGGTGAAGGCGGGCATCATCGTGGCATCCGGGTGGTGTACATCCTCCTCCCCACGTCACACTTACGCCACGACATGCAAGAGAGACTGTGCCCAACCCAACGGCGACAACTGCCAAACGACAACATGCGAAGGCGCTAAGCCTCTATGTGGAGTGATGTTCAAACCGTCGGGTGAATACTGGGGTTCTGGGTGCGGCAATATAGAAAGTCCCGACTTGAAAGCTCCGTTTTGCTTTCTGATGAACAACAATGAAATCAGCCATGGGTGTATATGCGACACAACCAACTGCAACCAACTTTCCCGACTTCCGAACTGATCTGTGTACGATCTTTCCAGTAAAACTCCTGTACTGGTATCAGCAGGAAGCCTTGCTGTAAAAAAGATGGTCAACACTCAGTTGTTCAAAATGTTTTCCGCCGCTGTCAGTGTGATTTTGTTGGCCGGGGTGTAAACTTTATTTACATATGTGGCAGTACGCTTCTAAGTAAACATATGCTTCTAAATAAACATACATTCTGTATACGCTTGTCCTGCTTATAGATACTCGTACCAAAATGCAAAAGATTCAATATTTTACTCTTATCAGTCTTAAGTACTGATTTTAATGCGCTGTAGGCCACAACCGCTGCATCCGCTGCAGAAATAATTTGCGATGCTTACGGGTAGTTGTTGCGCTGTCAATATAATCTGAAATAAAACGGCTGGATAAAAATAAAAATACGGAACTGAAAAAGATAAAATTTCGATATAAGGCGGCAATTCTTCAGACCGGCACAACAACAGAGTGGTACAACAACATCCTAGAGGACTACGTTTAAAGTTTTATACAAACGCATCTCTGATACAAATTGCATCTTTTCTCGATATGAGAAACAATGATATTATTGGAGCTTAATTATCGGTTACGAGTGCATAACAAAATATCCTATTCTTCTGTTATCTTTCTGATATGGCACCGACGACAAAACGGAGATTCCTTAACCAGCGCAACTGTCATAGGTAGCACTACGTACATATCCATAAATCCTACCAAGAACTTACTATAGGTAGAGTCCTGGGAAGCGACTCTGCAACGGTCGACTATGTCATCACTGTCGCATACAGAATGCACTGGTGTGCTATTGCTTACCATAGGCCCACAGATTTTATTGTCCCTTTTTAAAGGTATTCTCAGTTCCTTTCTCCTCTAAAGCTTTCCGATATTTCACAGATCATATTGAATTTAGAAACCCAAACACGAGGGGCTAGAAATAGAAGAGAAAAGAAATATGCTGAGAAAACTGACAAAAACCGTAAAAAACGCGCATATGTCACCATGGCAGCCGCCCTCCCGTGTATGCGAGAGTGATGACGTCAAACGGTAGGTTACCAGTCCTCTTCACACTATAGTAAGTACTTGATTCTACATAAATCCACCTACATAAATCTATAATATGGGGAGAAATGGTGTGTCCCTAAATAATGGCTTTTATGCATAAAATGGGAGAAATGGGAGAAAACACATAAAAAAGGGATAAATCAAGATCAGAAGCTCTGATATTCAAGCGGAAAATCCATAAATAGGGGCAGGGGCGTCAAAGGGGGGGGGTGTCAACCGGCAAATTTTCGGAGTTTGACTCCCCCTGGTTTTCGAAACCGGTTGCCCCCCGTCAATTTTTTAGAGGTTCTGGAAGCCAGTTGCCCCCCTGTCAAGTTTTGACTCCCCTGTCAAATCATTTTGCATGAGCTGCTGCTATTTAATTTTCTAAATTACGATAAGAAATTTACAAATTTACAGTACGACTAGGAAACAACCGTGCTCAAATCTACTGAATCAAAAACTTTTAGGCGTCGTCTCGAATTCGAAGCAATCTCGTTATGGTACGGTTGCTCAACCGCACGAGGTAGCTGTATCCAGTGGCCACTCCTTCAGATACGGTACGCGAAGCCACCTCGCGAGGTGGAGTTGCTGTATCGCAACAATCTTCGCTGCGAATGCGGGACGAGGCCTTATTGAGCAGTAAACAATCACAAGACAGGACAGATTTAAGTCGATTTCTCGTGAACATTTAGTCACTTTAATGTTTAATGCATTTCTGTACCAAAAAAACTAAAATGTACAGTACAATTTTGAGATTTTCAAACTTCAAAAGCACGTTATTGTGTGCTCACAATTCACAAATTTCAAAATTTCAATTACTATTCATACACACTAACACTGTCCACTGATAATCTCATTACTGAAAATCATAGTCTGTTACACTTTAAACGATACATGTTGTGTTATCTAACGGTACTTGTGTATTAGGTCTCTGTTATCTAATTTCTTATAAATTTCTACCACTAGCCTGAAAAGTTTCAAATGACATGTGGTGCTGGGGCGCCGGGCGGTGACATGTAACATCACTGCGCTTTGAATTTATTCATTAATAAGAGAAATTCTTAAGCATAACCGGTAGATTTGCAATTTTTTTCGGGTAAACCTCGCCTCAAAAAATCAATATTCTGTTCAATTTAAAAAATTGTCATTTGACACCCCTGTCAAATTACTTTGACTTCAGAAAACCGTTTGCCCCCCGTCAATTTTTTTGATTTTTCATATTAAGTTTGCCCCCCTGTCAAAATTTGACACCCCCATTTTGCCAGACCTGTGACGCCCCTGAATAGGGGCATTTCCATTACAAGGCGGTTACAGTGTTGCCCGTGACGCCGTCTAAGAATTATCAGTTTGACGGCTGAGGACCTAATCACAGACCCGGTGGAAGATCGTTGGAAATCAAAAGTAGTGACAGCGAATCTGCTTCCGATGTGTTTGAATCAGAAGACGATAATGCGGTTTTTCTTAGTTTAAATTCGTTTTTTTGGATGTACTGTAGTAAGAGGCGTAATAAACTACTCTTGGTTTGTCTGATAGATGGTATGTTTTTGCTTCAATTTGGCCTTGCGACCAATTGTCTCGCGGTGTGGTGCCCTGCCGACTAAAAGTGCTCAAGGAAACGTTACGGTGCTCTGATCTTTCCTTGAAGACGCGTGTAACAGCACCTCGGCACGTGTAACAGTCCCGTAGTAATACTTGGGTCTTCGTGGCATGCATGTGGTGTCATTTGAGGTAATTACGAAGCGCAGATTTGGTGATCTGCGATTTCTCAAAAAAAAAAAATTTACTTCGTAAAATTCCGTTTTGGTGAACAACGATGAGGCGGCGGAAGTGTGTGCACGGATTGTGAGGATAGCTCGGACAGCCCGTGCACCGGTGGACCTGTACGGCAGAGTAAAAGCTAGCATGCCGAATGTACCGGGTATATCGTTTTCATGTTTTCGGTGGATCAGCTGGAAGCACACGAGATAACACAAAAGAAAGTATTATTGCGGTTGATGCTTACTTTGCTTGTTTTGAAATTTGAAATGATTCTGAGATGTGTTTTAACAGTTCTGGAAGAGTTACTTGCACACTCTGTTTGACCCATTTTAGTATTCTAGATAATGCAGACTGCAGTTACTGTTAAGTGTTAATCTGTGGTACAGCATCAACCCTTACGTTTGAAGGTTGGAGTAACGCGGCCTAAATTAATCGCTTTTCTGTTAGTGCCACACACTTACAGTAACTGTACGAACCATTCGTATTACCGTTATACATAATACTGTAATTACGTAGTACCTAAGTTGTTGTTGTTGTTGTTGTTGTTGCATAAACATACAGCTGATGCTTGACATAAGTTGATGCTTGAATGACAGTTGATGGCTACGACAGTTGATGGTAACTTAGCGACAGAAAAAGTCAGAAAGTTCTTCGTGCTAACTGCTAAGGTACTGAGTGAAGAGCCTCGTTACGCTTTGTGAAGCCAGTCCAATAACTGGGATGCAAATAGTCTTAGCACTTGCTACCAGCGCACACCTGTAATCACGTAATATCGCAATTGACTGAATTTGTCAGTAGTGATTATTTGCAAGTGCAAGCAACATGTCTCCGCTGTCGAGCTGGATGATAATGACTGGCGTATGGCTTCACCTTTGCCGCAAAAGTACGCACTTGTTTTTGTTGTATTCATAATATATTTTCCCCTGGAGTAAACTAATTCCCGCTAAGAAACAATTTTCAAAATTTCATTGCATTTCTGGTACTTCGCAGCGACCTCTAGTTTCCCATCCTACGTGCATTACGGAAAATCAGGTGTCCCCCAGCACAACTGCCGCTTGAAGTTGTTTTAGTCTACTTGTTGTACATAATAAGAAAATGTGTATGCACGATGAACCAAACAAATCTTTTATGTCTCCACCTTCGAACCGAATGACTATTTCGAGTTGCTCTGTTAATGACATTTGTTGCACATCCAGCGGTGACTGATTATGTGATAATCAAACAATCTGATCCACGCTGTTCAGCTCGTTTAGGTAGATCTTATAGAGATTTTTATCTACCGTAAACGGTTTCCCATCGATAACGTCCGACGATTTTTGCTTTCCTTAAGGGATCGCGCGACTGGTCCGCCGCAGGCCGCTCCGGGTGTCACTCTAGCCGGGTAAGCTGCAAATCAGCAAATCTAAGTGAGGTCACTATATTTGAGCTAACAAACATTACTATATTTAAGCAAATACTATATTTTTAATTACTATATTTAGGCTAACGTGGAAAGATTACTACATTTAAGCTAACCTGTAATCGTAGGCGAAAATTTCGTGTGAACATTTTGCACTAAACGGAATCGGAGCGCGAGAAGTATAATTTACGCTATAAAGCGATTTTGTTAACGTGAACTTTTAATTAACTGCATAATTAGTTAGGTTAATTTTAATTAATTATTAATATTATTGCAGAAATGCCATCCCGTCGGCAGTTTCATGCATTCCAGAGCCGGTTTCCTAAAATGCGGCAATTTGTCTCCATATTCTCCCGTTGCTCCGCCCAGTATAGTTGTAGCAATAGCATTACTTACTTAATTAAGTTCATAGCAACACCCTCACTAACATTTTGGTGTTAACAACCGCCATCCGGAAGTCCGGTGCATATAAGTGCCGCGGAAACTTGCAGCTGTGGCGCCACTGGCCCACCCAGTCCGCTGTTCCGACGCTTATAAGGCGTCGTTCACCACCAATTTCGCTTTATCATTTTTGTGCGGTGCCCTTGAATTGCTTTGTGATCTTTGAAACATGGCTTAGTGCGGCCGTGCTTTTGGCCCTTCTTTGGTATTTTTGGTGCATCGATGCTTTTGATGCTTTTTTAGTAGGAATTGGCAGGAAAACCCGTGCTACATAATATCGCCTCCCAGAGAATTGGGGTATCGGAGAGGTGCACGGACTTTGCCATATCGCACCACAAACGATCCTTGGGGAGTTCCGTTTGGTTCACAGGTGACAGATGGAAGCGGTACGGCAGGACGTCGCGGATGGTGCGTTTATTCATCCAAGCCCAATGATGGGCGAAACAGCACTGCGACTGCAGTAGTAGTAGTAGTAGTAGTAGTATACTAGTAGTATTTCTTCTTAATGCATGATCACTTTCGTCAATTGTTGTTGTCGTCAAATACGCATTGTTGTGGGTTATCGTTGCCAAACAGCAACGGCCCTGTTGAATGGCGCCTACTTTTTTTTGTGAAGCAATTAAACATTTGTTGCACAAAAAAGGAACGTTCTAGTTTGTGTCTGCGTTCCTGTAAGCGCTTTCTCTTTTCTTGGTTTTAATTCGTATATGTTTAAGTTAACGGTGCACTTGTTTTCGAGTGAGTGTGCGATTACTGCAATATGACTACACTTTTTTTAAGTGTTGAGAACTGTTTTTGATAATCCATACGAGTATACTGATTAAGTAATTTTGATATCTATTCGTAGATTGGCTGCATTTCCGGTAAAAAGCTCGGATTTGGTTTCTTACTCTTTCCATTTGCTCATGTACCGGATTCTTTTTTAACAGAACTTACACATTGTTTGTATTGTGAACTGACTGTCACATGAAATTTTGAATTTGCGAATTTTTTCATTTTCGCTCTTTCCGGTGAAGCACAGGAATATTGTTATAACTCTTCATTGAAACCATTAAAGAGTTCTTACAGACTTCAGCTGTAGTATTCCTACAGAAAAATAGTGCGTGTGCATGCTACTTGCTAGCGTATTGTATGTCACATGTTGTTGTTTTATTTATACATTAACTCAAACCCTCTGTCGCCTAGCGATACATATCGCTTAAGATACTCGTACGAAAAAAAACTGACCGGAATTAGTTTTTGTAGTTGTTTTAGCGTGCAGTGCAGACTCTAAACGACAATATCGACTGACTTGGCTTTCAAAAAAATTTTCACATATTCTGATCAGAATCAAAAGTTTTTGGACTGCAAAGTGACAACGAAGCATCATGTGGTTTTTGCTGGCCGCGCTACTTTCGTCCTCGCTTTATACAGGTGAGTGGGACTATATCGGCACCTGTTTACAGACCGCCCTTAAACACTTGCATACCTGTAAAAGGCACTCAAGGCAAAAGTTTGCTAACTTAGGCCCGTAACACCAAACTGATGCCGTGTGCGGTTGCACAAACATTGGTAAAGCATTTGGCAGTTTGTGTTACAAAAATAATTAGTTTTGTACTTTACTACTAAGTGTTCGTAACGTTTGTTAATTTCGAAATTCTTTTGCTTGTTGTGGTATTTTGATGAATAATGTTTCTGTATCTTTGCGCTAGTGAACGCGATAAAATGCTATGAGTGTGAAGAGTTTTCGGGAACTAATCCGGGAAACTTACGCGTCTCGGACAGCACATGGACTGCTAAATGTTTGTCTACCAAATCTACGGATTGCCCACAGGAAGTCAAAAACTGCGTTCGCGGAACCGAAATATATTACAAACGTAAGTACCGCAAAATCGTCCCTGAGAATACATTACAAAGGTTAAGTATCTCAAAATCGTCACTGTCTGGTTCATCAAAGTTTCCACTTAACTATCAGCATGCTGCATAACAATAATGAATAATGTCAATATCTTTTTATTCAACAAACGGCTGTAGCCAATTCATGGGAAAAAAATTACCAGCACTGCGGTGACGGACGAGGACTTGACGATCTAACATGTGCGGACGAGTACGATTATATGTCTTACCCAGCAAACAGCAGCAGGAATACAAAAACTAGAACACTGAAGTGCTATTGCGCTGGAGACAACTGCAATCCTGCATGGAAATTAGTGGGTAAGCACTTTGGCAAAGGTCATGCATTTTCAGCCACTCAGTATCACAACTCTCTAAATGGTATAACTGGGCAGATAAATGCACGTAAATTAAAGCAGATCCGTCCTAATACAGATATACGAGGAGGAAACAAGCATCTTATTCTTCGGTAGCGCGTTCGAATAGTCAAGACTCTTTGAACACGTGTGGCTCCAAATCTGGTTTAACAGTCAACCACGGAAGGCTGGCAATCCACGTTTAACTTGGCCACTGTCAATCAGGGCACTCAACCACGGTTGACGGTGAGGTGCACGCAGATGGGCAACATTCCACGGTTGGCTGTTAAGTGAACCCTGCTGTCGCACATTGGACGCACAGTGCTCAAAGAGCCTTGACTATTCTATCGCGCTACCGAGGATGCTTGTTCCCTCCTCGTATACGGTAGAATCGGGTAGATTAAGATACTAGATAGTGCATCTGTAATCGGAGACTTTCGGAGTTAAAATAGTTGCCGCTGTTTTTGTTATTTGTCAGCCTGGGTAGGTATAAAATTCTAGAGTTGAACCCTTCCCGTTATGGATACTGCATACCAAGTCCGTTAAATAGCACGAACGCGTTATCGCTGCGCGCGTATAAAGCAGAACAATCTGGCTGCATTATGGTCGTTTTTATCTATCAAATATTTAATAAGATCCGCTTATGCTGTTCTTTTTGTTGCAGCAAATGTTCCGCAGCAGTTACTGATCTGGGCATGTTCTGCAATCCATTCTTTCAAATACTGGAGAAATAAATGACCAGCGGAAAGCGAAAATGCGGGTTGTGCTTACCCACTGACTTACGAGAACTCCTACTAAACTAGAACTATTCGGCTCTTTTGGCGCTAGACACTGGTATTTCAAAGTATTCGGTCAATTGTTATCGGTGAATTTATGGTTTTTGCTATACCTTCGGTGAATTGGTCTTTTCTGCTTTTTTTATTTTCTTTTATATCACTTTACTCTTTTGTCAGCGGCGACTTTAGGATGATCGAAACGTTTGGAGGTTCAAAAAGGTTTGGGTTTGCATTCGGATATGAAGAATTCCTTTGATCTGCTAAACCAAAAAGCTTTTGTTTGGTGGTGGCGAAAACATTTATCAAGAAACACACTGGTAAAAACAGACGCACCAGCAAGACTAGAACAAACTGCAGGAGCTTTCTTAAACTTCTATCCTCGGGGCGTCAGCTATTTCCCGCAAGCCATATTGTTACATAAATAAGCATAGCAACTTGACATTGTATTCGGCTGTTTTGTTCATTGTATTCGGCTGTGCTGTTGGGTCTTCAGTGCGATGCGAGGTGGACCCGGGACACCGGCCTTTTTCACATTGGAAGCCTCATCCCAAACTAGCCTCCTCTAGTGCTTATACGGCGGAGGACCTCTACCATATCAGCTTTCCCTAGCCCTTCTACAATGCGCCCCCACTTGTTTTTTTAATAGTACTCCGACCATGTAAGCCTGCCTCATCGATAAAAATTTATAGGCCTAATTGGAAAAACAACGCCAACACAGTTCTCGGTTTTTGGCCAACAAGGTAATTGCAGACTAATTTCCGCTTTTGCTCATTTCGATGAGACCATTAATGTTCGGCAACCCAAGTTTTGTCAAATCCTGCTCAAGAGACACTAAAAATTTCACGCCTCAGAAAGCACCTTCCCCATATCCAAGTGAAACAACAAGAAACTGCAATACCGCGTCTACAACAGTGAAAAATTTCCCTCCTATTAAGATTCAGATAATTTTAAAGGAGAAGAGTTAATACTTACAGTTTATATCGATAGTTTATAATTTAAATCAATATTTGGCATGCATCAGTCATGCCAAATGCATGTCCAGCATAATAATGTGGTGTGGCGCGCCATACTATGAAATTGGCGTTGCCCGTGAATTTGAGTATTTCGTCGTTCCTGTATTTGAGTACAAGCTTGTCCAGCACTAGAGTACTACTTAATTCTTCAATGCTTTAAATGCCGAACTAAATATTGTTAAGCCCTGCAGGCTGGGTTTATTACAGTTTATAGAATTATAATTGTAGTTTCATCGGCAGTTTGCGGACCATCTCTTTATTAGGCGAAAATTTAGAGAAATCGGGAAGCCGCTTCTGAAATGCACCAGATTACATTCTAAGAAGACCAGTATAATTCCGATAACGGTCCTTAACAGTCAACACAATCGTTGTGGACAACACAGAAGGAATTTAAAAGATGCTATTGTAAAACAGTTATAACGTTAATCGCGAAAGAAAGAAAGAAATTGACCAGTCTACTCCATGTTTGTTCAGTAAAAACGTCCTTCACAAGAAAAAGTGCGAAACTTGCTAGTCGCCTGAGTCGGCAACACGAAGAATCACCGTGGCAAGGAAGCCGGAAACAGGTTGAAAAATGAAGGAAAGGAAAATATCTTTCAGGAATTCAAGACCATTGGGTTCGTACCCGCTTGCCACCCACGGCCACATCAACCCGCATCCCGCATACTCAGCAAGAGAAGCGAAAATGTTGAATACCAGTTTTTGGACCATAGTGAATCAGGCAGAAAACCGGCTGTAGCAATCAGAAACACAGTTAATTTGCACTGAAAACGCTGATGTGCATAACGGCTCCTACTCAGATTGCAAAATGCTAACCTACCACAAACATGGTGCTCAGTAGGGGTACCGTCGCTGCATTCATCGTTTCTGTTATAAGGTTGCTTGTAGTGGTGTTGTCTGTAACTGCTAAGTGACCAAGCAAAAATTGTTAATATTGTATTCTACTTAGGAGAGTGCACAATGGAGCTGTAGAATCAAATAACCAAATTTTCGGGAACTGCCGCAAAGATCGTCTGCAGCACCTATCTGTACTTCAAAGATATTTCCTTATAAAAATTAATATTTCTAAGATTTTTAGATCTTTAGATATTCGAAAAAGGCTCAAAGAAACAAGGCTAAAATTAAAATACATATTTTTTAAATGCACGATAGCGATCGCACATGTTCAGGAGTGAGGGGGGAGGCTTGGATTGGAACGTACCCCGAAACCGAATTTCAAAATACAGTACAGTACTTACTAAGCTTCGCGTTTTTTTTATAAGGTGCGAAGTGTAAGGGCGGGCTTACGTATGGCCATGACTCATCCCTCACTTCTGCTATTCGCTGTTTCTTGGAGATTTCCACTCCGCAGATTTCCAGCTGTTTTGACGGATCTGCAGCACAGCTGCACTCATAATGCACTGGCTGCAGATTCCGCTTCGACAATTGGTGGTTTTTGGTGTGGCGGCAACATCGCCAATAAAGTCGATGTTTCCGGGTTGTCTGTCGAGGATACGCGTGGCGTCCATACGGCTCCGCGTTATTGAAGCGCAAATTCATACTTCATACTCATAGCGTAATATGATAATGCCCGTTATCGAGCATAATAAATTTCAACTTGACGACAGCCGGTTTAAACCCAGGCAGTTACATTATGACGTTAGCACCACTAGAGTAGCGATGCGAATTTGCAAAAATTAATAAAAAAAGGCTTAAACCGTACCAGTTGAACTTGGTATTATAATTAAGTTGCATAGGTCACCAATGCAGCTGCACGATGTAGCATTTCCACTTTCACGGTTTTTGATTAATGGAACACACTTCATGTCATCTCGAGTTAAATTCGCTCGTCCACAACCTTGGCTGTTAATCTGGAATTCTTTTGCTGGAATTTTTAAACTAAGTGCAGTCAACACAAACGCCACGCAATCATTCAAAGATTTCAGAATAAGACGTTTTATAAAATATTCGAAGTGGCTATTTTGTCGCACTGTTTGCGGCAAAATAGCCTTAGCGGCAAAATAGCCAAAAATATTTGCAAGAATAAGCAACTTATTCAGATGTTGACAATTTAGATACGCCATAAAACTAAAAGAAAAGAATAATCCAAAGATTCGAGGACCCAGTGATCTCAAATACACTTAACTATTCACTCACTCTGCTGGTCTACAGCTTATCGCTCAATTATTTATGTTGCGGTTGTGCATACCGGTATTTGCATAAAATTTAAAGGACATTACGGTTCTTAAAGCGATGTCCTGGAGTATACACTTACGTGTTGTGTACGCTACAGTCGCACTTTTGCAATGGTTAGTGGTTGCGTCGCAATCTGTCGTTTTGCTATTGAGACAGTTTGTCTTTATGTCATTCCAGGCTTCAGGAACATCCCCAGACGCGTATGCGCATTCATAGCATTTAACAGGTTTTCCTACCACAATGATGCAAAATATCAACATAGCGTTTCGGGAGCTAAGTTCCGCTTTCTAAGCGAGAGAAATCTAACATAACCAGCAATCATCAAATGCAACCGCAAGGATAGAGAAAACGAGAGGGCTTTGGGTATGTTACAGTAATACGTATTTTCATTTTTCAGCTATGTGATTGCTGCGCGAAGGTTCATTACACTACTTATACAGTGGATGTCAAAATAGTCTTACATTCGGTCTTGGACCGAATGACGACTAAAAATAAATGGCCATGACCAAATGACCAATAAACGAGACGCGCAAGAATATGAACGCTACCACCTTGCGTAGTTTCCGGTGAAAACCATTAAGCAATATTTCAAAAGAAAGAGAGAAAAATTTCAAGAATTTCGGCTCCAAAAAGATCATTCCGTATGAAATCTAACACAAAATCAAGCCACTGTAGCTTGTCGTAGACAAAGCATACGGTTTCGGTGTGAAAACTGAAACCAAGTCGTGGATTCAGATCTACGAGATTCAGTCGCCAAGTCTACGAGAAAATTTTCTCTTAAATATCATAAAAAAACAACTTCTTTGGTATCAAAATTCTTAAAAATTTTTCCTCAATCGTTTGAGATGTCGGTCGATGGTTTTCGTTGGGAAATGCGCAAGATGCAAGTGGAAATGTCAGCAGGCCGATGGCAATTACAAAAATATTAATTTGGTTGTTTGAGTACAGAAAAGTGCCTGGCTGCGCGCGTATTGTAATTACTAAGACGTAAGACGATTTTGAAGTCCACTGTAATTTGGAGACGTTGAGTTGCTACAGATATGGTAACTCAATAAAGCAGATTAACATACAATATAAGGATTACGCAGCAATAGGTTTACACCCGGATAGCCTAGATTGCTACGACATGAAGTAAACTTGAAGCAGAAATGTTTAATAATTGTAAGTCCAACTTATTGGACTAGTTATGAGGTAATTGATGTTGCAGAGATCACCAGCGCATTTGCACTCTGTAGCAGTAGCACCGTCTCCAAACGAGTTATCCATGAAGGGAGCACAGTTTAGGCTATTTGGAGTTAAGGTCCCACTTCCACACTTCTGGACGTTCACCTCATACTGTTTTGCTGCAAATTACAAGCATTTGTAAATAAAGTTGCACGAGACACCGGGCTTGCAAATGTTTCAAAACAAGCATTGTCAAAAAGAGGCTGCGTTTTAAAACTGCACATTCAGAAACCCCTTGCTTTAAAAAAACGAAATGCTATAAAACGGTTAAAAAAACAAACAAGCAATTTCCAAAACAACTTTTACATATGAGCAAGACAGAAGAAAAGAATGGTTATTTGGTAAAAATTCTTGTCAACGTGTCTTTAAAAAATTGCAAACTGAAACGCTAATCATCATGGTTGCGAAGTCACTGCGGTTTACACACTTACATTTTGTATACACTACAGTTGTAAAAGCACAATGGTTGGTGGATGACCCACAATCTTTTATTCTGGTGTCAAGACAGTTTTTTAAGTTTTGACTGGGATAATCAGGAACCTCTCCGAACGCGTACTGGCATTCATAGCATTTGATAGAAGTTCCTATCAATCAAACAAGATTTCAGTAGCCCTTGTAGTGTGGTAGCAACCGATTTCCTTATCTAGTAAAGGATAGCACATTGTACCTCTTTCTATGGTAGCAAAAACCAGTGTTCCTAATAATGCAAATTTCCAGCCCACTGTCACCTCAAACAAAAGTGGGTGTTGCATGAAAAATAATACAAAATTTACTGCCATAGCTGAAGTACAATCGGACGACTGAGTTTATTGCAAATTTAAAAAATAAATACCACGTGGAGAAACTATTGTTGCAAGCATACGAGCCAGAACAATCATATTATTAAATCAATTAGTAAAACTTCGTAAGCCAGTAGCTTTGTTGCTAAACGTACTGTGCTGAACTTACTAATCGACCGGAGCGTAGCGAAGGTCCTCTTAATTCAGCTCCAATGCAAAAATGTCTCTGTATCCGTTACGGAAGGTTGTTACGAAAGGTCATTAGGAAAAGTTTGCTGGTTTGTTACGTTGCTAAGTCAGATTTATTGATTTCAAGTAGTGTACCAGCTGAGATAGCAGACACTCTGATTGGGCAGACACGCCCCCTCTCTGATTGGTCAGACACGCCCCCTCTCTGATTAGTCAGACACGCCCCCTTCTCTGATTGGTCAGACGCGCCCCCTTCTCTGATTGGTCAGACACGCCCCTCTCTGATCGGACCGAGCCGAGACTGAACCGAGACCGGCCGAACCAAACCGGGCCGAACCGAACCGGGCCGAGACCGAACTGAGACCGACCGAGTCGTGCTTTACCCCTTTCTTTTGTTTATTTTTCCCCACCCTCTTTTTGTTATTTATTCGGAATTCAACAAACTGTCGAAAACCGTGTCCCACGCAGTAGTGTCATGCGAGCCAATAGGCAAGTCAAATACTGTAAAATCAGTAAACATAAATTCTCTCAACAACAACAACAGTGCATGAAACGGTATCTTGATGGTGTTCTCCTTTGGGTTATTTCCAAAGTCCGCTCGCTGTCTCCACCCTGACCCGGATGGAATGTGAGAACGGTGTTGAGTTTTCCAAGAAGGGGGATTTTCTGCTCCACACGTGAGCGATTGGCGGTATCATTAGTGGCATGCAGTGTACGTTCATCCTCCAAGTGCAGTAATTACGCCAACTCCAACTTTGTCAGCTCTACGCCATTGTTCTGGCCAAAGGTTTCCGGTTAGAGGAAGACAAAAGGATCGTACTTGTTGAGGTACACAAGTGTAATGTTATCCGCCAGATGCATTTCTGCATCCATTGTACTACAGTAGCCAATGTACTCTAATAATAAAGTATCAGCCATTTTGCACGGTTTTGCGAAAAGACAAAAGAGTATACTGAAACGTTGTACCCGCTTTCAGTGAGCACGCGCATAGCTATTTGACCGGTGACAGCTGGCGGTGGTGACGTAATTGGCGATGAGCCACAGTGAATTATCTCAGAAAACAGTACTTGTACCTTCACAGCACTGCACCGCCTCCCGCACCTCACACCAACGTACAAGTAGGGTAGACGAAGCAGCCATGTTCTGTATGCATTGTACTGCCACTACGCGGAACCAATTTTATATTGTACTAGTGCTGTACTCGTAAAGACAGAGGCCGCCAACGGTATGCTTTCGGATTGAAATCGGAAAGAATCTAATGACTTTTCTCAGAAAGCGCCAAGAGAATACAATACTCGTACTTACACACTGCACCGGACCCAGCACAACACCGCACCCAGCACAGCAACGCACCGGGTCCAACACCGCGCATCGTACCACATTGCCTCCGTACAGTACCGGCTCAAGCACAGGATGGCCCAGCATATAGACAGAGCGCGCTGACATCAAGATTTTCGATTGAAATCAGAAAGAATCTGACATCTCCTGGCGGTGTGACTTTCTCTCAAAGAGCGCCAAGAGAAAACAATACTTGTACTTAAATACTGCACCGCTCCGCACAAACAACGCACCGACCCAGCACCTCAAGACAACGTGCAGATAGGGAAGACAACCAGCCATATACTGTATTATTTACTGCTACTGTATGCGTAGAAACGTCAATGAAACAATATTAGACTTACGCACTGCACCGGACCGCGCCGGACCGCACAGCACCGTATCCCCGGAACGCACTGGCCCTCGCACAGCACGACACCGACAGTACCGACCCGCCATTTACAGGTACTGCATGTATTGTATATGCAACTATCGCAACACGTATCAGTTTTACGAGTACTGCTCATATGGACAGCATGCTGACTGGTGGAAATCAGGTAGCATCCGGTAGCGACTGTTTTTCTGCAATCTGTTCAGTCATCAAAATTTGGGGCAGAATCAACTTATTTTTCGGATAAGTTTTACATATAAGACATAAATATAGCGCACACAAACCAGCAGTATATGTCTGACAGTAATATCAGTAGAATCCGTACTGTAGTGCAGTGTAAAACTATGCTACTAAACGTTGGGGTATCAAATAGATCTGTAATTTATTTTTAAATCGGATATTTATAATTTTTGTGTACATATTTATTAAAATTCAGTACCAGGTATTTACATATATGGGTAGTGCAAACAACACTCTGTATGTACCAGATGTACAGCAAACAATGTAGTCGTAACGCATTGTAGGTTACATATCGCACTGGGAACAGCCGGTAGCATTAGTGCCTTGACACATAGGTTGTTCGCATATTTACATGTAGACATTAGTAATTAAAATAATTATTTTCATACCGCTAGTGGTGTTACTTTAAATTGCACTTTCGCAGAGCAAATTCAAGGAGTTTTAAATTTATAATGAAACTGCTAAGTTTTTCATTTAAAAACTTCAAAATCTGTACCGATAACGGAGTATTTCAAAGTTAAAATGTGGAGTTTTCGAAAAGAAATTCTCATAGGTATAGCATACAAGTAGCGACAAAAACAGGTAGTTTTTTTAATGAAAAAGTGACTTTTAATTTTAGATCTAAAATTACCTGTTTGTTACGCATTTCTTGCCCAAATATATTCGAAAAAATCTACATTTACTGTGCAAATTTATGGAATTTTTCTGAAAAATTGACACCAGTACACCCACACCCACCCACACACACACACACACGCACACACACACACACACACACACCAGCACACGTTCAGTGTATCTACACGGTACAAGAAATGCAGCCGTACACTTTCCGTGATGTAAGCATATATTCACTGGGGCCAGTCGAGTGCTACCCTTTTAACCTAGGAGTTCATATATTAACAAGCAGTGGTGGTTGCGAAAACGATATTATTGCACGAGTGTGAGCGCCGATACCACAGGAATTGGAAAAGTGTTACGTACGCTCTTCGTGATGTCAGCCATACTCTGCTTGTTGAAATATATGCTCTGCTATGGGTCGTGTATCACTTGACGAAGAATTAATTGCAGCGTCTCGCACTTTACGCTCGGTGCAAATAAGTAACTATAATTGTATTGACGTACAACGATCCAAACAGCAATGTAATGTAATCGTTCGAAGGGTACGTAACGCATGTACACGTATGTGATTGCCGAGGTTCTATTAATCATAGTCACTGGTGGGTATGCGTATTACTTGGTGGCTGTGATCTGTGCCGCGGCTTTCGTACAATTTCATTTTCAAACACGTACTATTTTTTTCTCATAAGAGTATTATACAAATTTCGTCAATCAAAACTTCGAAAAAAACCACGAAGACAGGTTTTTTGTCCAACCTAAAATGGAAGTACTGACTTGTTGAACTGTATAGGTAATACATCGAAAGCAACGTTAAAACATGGAGTTTTTATCAAAATTTGCACTTTTATTCAAAAAAATACTACATAAAATTGTATTGACGTTTCCCAAAACAACGCCGTAATAGTAGCTTTGAAACACGCTTTTTTTGGATATTTTGCGTAATGCTATGCTTAGAACGCAGCAGCAGAGATTTTGAATTTATACTACCACAAAGACAAAGCAGTGGTCTCTCAGATATTAGGTTGTCAGATAGAGTATAAACAAAACTAGTTTAATAACTCAAAAGACTGCGTTCTTTAACAATGACAGACAGCGGTTATACGAATACTAATCGTCTGTGTCTGGACTTCGGTACCTCTCTTTTGAAGCGAGGTATCTCGTCTTCTACTTTACCAAAATCATTTGACCAGCCCCAGTGGTCCTTCATCAAGCATAGAGCGATAAGAAATACACGCCTCGTTCTAATAAGAAAACTTGACCAAGAACAGCAACGATGTCTATGCTCCAACTTTAACAATAAGTACGAGTACAATAAAAAAAGCAGAATTTACGTTAAAACGTTGGTCATCAGTGTAAACTTCAATCCGCATAGCGCAACTACGAAGGGGCGAGTGTGTAGTCCCATTTGTTATATAAGATATCTATGCAAGCACGTTAGATATCTAGTATGGGGATGTTTATATACAGCCCTGTGTGTCTCTTGAGCTGGTGTGCGTTTTCGATGAAACTAAAACAACATTGTGTCTACACATACGTGATGTTTTATTAATAAGTACATAATCAAGCAATACTAACAGCAATGTAATGCACACTCGCACAAGACTGTTCTAAACAATTGATTATAACCATCGGTGCGCGTGAGTATGAGTTGAGGGTGTGAGTTTTGCTACGGATCTAGCATAGTTCTATTTTTAAACACGTACACTTTTACCCACAAAATTACTAGAATTTTTAGCAATCAGGACTTCAAAACTACACTCAAAATCATAGTTTTGCCGTACACAACATCGTAGAGTTTCGTTCGCAAAATACAATATACAATACATTTTATACAATTTTTTCATTCAGTAAAATATTACATAGAACTACACTGATGTTTTGCCAAATCGGTGCCACAAATGGTGCTTTTTGAACGCATGTTTCGTACAGCTGCGGTAACGGTGCGCTAACACAGCGTCGGCGCTCCGCATTCAAAAACGTTTCCATCCGCTGTGGTCAATTAGGTGTGACTAAGCAATAAATTATAGTTTATAAATACTTTTATTACTTTATTCTACAGTTTTACTATCAGTTCTACAATTTGGTAAAAGAAAGTTTGCGATGCGGTGAGAGAGACTCCGTCAGGATAGTCAGGCTATGGACGCCTTTGTACTATCGGGAGTGTACGCGTGAGCCAGCACTATATCGTCAGGCAGTACTATTGTATAGAGCCATTCCCACTGTTATACGGCATTGCGAGCCATAGCACGGCAGCGTATGTGCTTGTACGAGTTTACTCGTGCAATGCACTACGTGCAATGACAACTCGTACATCAGCCATTCTCATTGCAGGCATAGTACTTTGCAGCATAGCCAGCACAGACTGTTCATTCAGTCTGCACAGCCAGTCGGAGATTATGTGATTTCATGCCAGCCAGATCTCCCTGTGTCATAGT